TAGATGCAATGTGTCATGTATATTCAGCTGTACAAGGACTTCTGAGGGATTTGTATAGCTGTCTAGGATTCCACCCTTCCCTGTGACAATAGTCCTATTCCGGGAGAGCTCCCAAATTTGGTCTTGTCCCATAAGGCTTGACATTATCCAGTTGGGGCAGTGGAACAAATCCATGAATAGATGATTTCTTATATCCTTTCCCCCATGACGTTTGCCAGGTACCCCTTCTTGGAGGAGATATTTATGGTCAGAGTCTCCAGTGAGGTTGATACTGAGTGGAAAAATGAACATCCTTTCCTAAAATCCATTTCCTAGGATTTATCTATGGGGGCACATCTTCAAAACTCACTGAAATGAAATACATACTTGAAAGGTAAACTTTTGTTGGTGAATTAGAAAATCCAGACAGATATTTTAAGACCAAAGATTTAAATATATAAACTGTAAGTCAGAAATATCACTCCTTAGCTTTGGGACTCAGATAGGGGACTTCTTAAATTGCTTGGTTTATTTACCTGAAAAATATGGTTAATCAACCTATTTCATAAGGGAGTGATCAGGCCTAAATGAGATCCATATCCATATAAAAAATCCTAGTGATGGCTTAGGGACTTTCCTGTTTAAAACACTGAAGATCTGGGTATTGGTGGTTCATGCCTGTAATCCTGTACTCTAAAGGCTGAGACCTGAGGACTGACACTTGAAGCTAGCCCAGGCAGAAAAGTTCATGAGACTCATTATCACCAACTAATCAGCAAATTCTGGAAGTGGAGGTATGGCTCAAGTGGTAAAGCACCAGCCTTGAATGTAAATGGCTAAGGAACAGCACCCAGGCCCTGAGTTCAAGTCCCAGTACCAATACAAAACAAAAATCTATGAAGAATATTTTGAATCTATCTTGAAACTTCATTAAACTTCATCCAAAATATAAACTTATGGGAATGGGAAGAGGCAGCATTCAGCAAAGTCCATAGAAATGTTCTGGTGAAATTAGAGGCAAAACTGTGTTTTTTCATATTATCAAAAAAAAAAATAGTTGAGAAGCAAAGATAGTGGATAGGAGAGATTTTAAGTAGGGAATTGTACACAAACTTTCATAAAAGTGTCAAAATTTTCTTGTGCCAGGATTTTCTGACAATTTTCCTGAAGAGGTCTTTGACAAAAGAACAATATTTGCTGGGAAGGTGGCTCAGTGGTAGAGCGCTTGTCTTGCATGCCTGAGGCCCTGGGTTCGATTCCTCAGCACCACATAAGCAAAAAGAAAAAAAAAAGCCAGAAGTGGCGCTGTGTCTCAAGTGGTAGAGCACTAGCCTTGAGCTGAAGAGCTGAGAGACAGCGCCCAGGCCCAGAGTTCAGGCCCCACAATGGGACCCCCCCCCAAAAAAACCAATATTTATTTCTCCTTGAATAATGATTTATTTAGATTTTTAGTCTTTCAGTTCAAATAGTTGTGTTGCTTATCGTTATTCTAATAGTAGGGGCCCTTAGCTAGGTGCTAGTGGCTCATGCCTGTAATCCTAGCTCTCAAGAGGTTGAGATCTGAGGATTGTGGTTCAGAGCCAGCCTAACAAGAAAATTCCACGAGACTCTAATCACCAATTAATCCTCTTTCCCCCCACCTTTTTTTTTTTTTTTTGCCAGTCCTGGGTCTTGAACTCTAAGGGCCTGGGGGACTGTCCCTGAGCTTCTTTTGCTCAAGACTAGCACTCTACCACTTGAGCTACAGCACCACTAACACCCTTATCTGTTTATGTTGTCCTGAGGAATGGAATCCAGGGCTTCATGCATGCTAGGCAAGCACTCTACCACTAAGCCACATTTCCAGCCTGAAAAATAGCCTTAATACACTTTCTCCAAAAGATTTGTAGAATCTAGTTTGGGAATAAAGTAAGTACCTTAGTTGTCATTGAATGCAAATTGTACCTATTGTTCTTTAAACCAATAGAGGAATTCCTTTGCAGTATTGCCCAGGATTAAGCATCCAGCCTATCTTCTCACTTCTGATTGTCTAATCATCTTATTGACTTTACTCCTTTTCCTTTCTACTTCTTTCAACAGCAGTTAGGAATCTCTGAGGTTCCCTTCAAAAGGAAAACTGAAATTGTGTTACTCCTCCAAGAGTTAGGGTATTTTTATGAGCCAGTGGGCCCTTTGAGAGGGAAGGAGGAGATGAATGAATTACGAGGTCTTAGACTATTGCTTATTTTTTAATTCGAGATTTGTGTTTCCCCATCCCCAATGCATAGGTTGAAATCCTAATCCCCAAAGTGATGATCGATAAGAGGTAGGGCCTTTCTGTGTCTTGCTCTCCCTCACCCTCTTGCCCTCCACTATGGGATGATGCTCACTAGATGCTGCCACCTTCAGAACTCTAAGAAACAAATGTTGATTATTTATAAGCCACTCAGTTTACAGTGTTCGGTTATATCAGTACAAGTCCACTAAGGCATTTATTCACTCCTAGCTGTTCCCTTTGAATAGTAATCCTGACCCTGAACACTCAGAAGCATGAATTGTGAGGACTGCTTGGAGCTGTGGGTGTTTTGTAAGCATGAGTTAGAAAACAAAGGAAGCTACTAAATTCATTACTGTAATTCCCCTTTACCGGGGTCACTGTGATGTCTGACTTGTTTTATGTTTTGGTTCATAATACAGTTCCCAGTGTGTGAGCCTGTGTGTGATAGAGGGAGAGGGAGGAGGACTTCAATAGGTAGGTCGAGAATTGGACTTGGCTACCACCTGGGATTTATTTTCTTCCCCTTAGTAGCCCCAGGTCATAGTTGAATTCAGCACAAAATGTCCAGAACTTTCAAAGGGGAACTTTCAAACTAATAGGGATTGGGAAACATAAAATACCTCAACCATTCTGAACGTGAGGGGTATGGTAAAATCTGACTATTGAACTTGAAGGGAGTGAGGCTGGGAGCTCTTGTGGTTTCAGCTCTTGGAGTCAGTATTCCTACAGACAACACACTTTTCTGAGACACAGTAGTTTCCCTCCAAGATGAAGACCCTGTGTCACCTAATAAAGCTCAGAGTTTCTATGGGGGAAAAAATGGAAGTAGTTGGATCTAATCTCTCATTAAACCCCAAAGGACTTTCTCATAGAACCCTTCTGCCTCGGTTTCCCTTCTTGCCCACCATTTCCCTTGAAATGCTTAGATCTTTAGCCATTCTCATTTTCAAATGGAACCTAGGATCCTTATTAGCTGAGTTTCTACAATTCCTTTTAACTTGTTTTCTATGCATGCTCTTCCTGTTATTGTCAAGACTTAGGTTAAGGTTCTCAAGGCAGCAGATCAAACCTGTGCTTAATTAACCTTATGCCTGAAAACCAAGGTATTAATATTCTCACATGCAAGGGGATGTTTTGCTTTAAGAAAAAATAATGCAGTTTAAGTTTTTCATTTTCACAAAGATTGATCAAATTGGTAAATACGATTGTGTTTCCTCAGCTGGTTGCCCAGTTACTTTAGCAACAAATTCTATGATAACCAAAGTTTCTGTAGGCCCTTGAAATTAGTAATTATAGATATCATATTTCTCTCAGATTCACTCAGAACCTTTCTATTACATCTGAGCATCTACAGTGCAAATACAATAGCACTCACAGAGAGTAACTTGAAGCATTTGTATATGGAAAGGCCTTGAAAACTTGCAAGCTAATTACTGGCAGTCTAGAGGCCGGGCTTCTTGCCCTGTCCCACCTCATTTCAATATGAGAGCAGAAATTCTCTGAGTCTCATATAAACAAGGAAAATGCCAGAATATTTGTTCTGTTAAAGAGCATCTTTTGGCCAGGTGTCCATGGTTCATGCCTAACCACTCAGGAGGCCCAAATAGAAAAGACTATAGCAGCTTATCTCCAAAATAACCAATAAAAAACTAGGCTGAAGGTATGGTTCAAGTGATAGAGCACCAGCCTATCAAGCAAGCTGAGCAAGTACAAGGCCCTGAATTCAAATCACAATACTGGCAAAAAATGGTGTAGAATAGCTCACCCTTACCTAATTTTAGATGTTGATCTTTCAGTTAGAATGAGAGAAAAAAAAAATCCGAGCTATGCTCCTGTTGCCCTCTCTAAATGCCTAAGGTGTCTTGTCCTCTTTTTCCAGGATTTAGCATGTTCTTAAAAGATAAACATTTCTTTATTTTTATTTTTCAATCTAATTTGAATGCTTACATAAAATAGAAACAATGGAAATTACTCAGAGGCATTGGCCCAACAGTATGTGATAATGAGTACCTTTGAATGAAAATGTCCATACATAGGGAATGGTGAAATGGATACCAGGACAGTCATTGACACAAAATAGGAGTAAGTTCTCTGCCTACCCAGAGAAAGAGCTCCAGAACATTCCCACTCCAGAGGAAAATTAAAATGCAGAGATTGTGGAGAATATGCAAATGTTTCTATAGAGTATCTCTTTTTTGCGAGGGTAGGCGTGGTGTTAGGGTTTGAACTCAGGACCTTGTGCTTGCTCAGCTGGTGCTCTACCACTTGAGCCACCACTTCAGCCCTATAAATATTACTGTAGGAAACATTTTCATGAAGAAAACTGAAGTGTACACAAAAATAAAAAGGTTATTGTTGGTGTGTGTGTGTGTGAGAGAGAGGGAGATTTTCATGATCTTTGGAATGTGTTATAATTTTTTAACCTAATTTCATTAAAGCTAATGATAAGTGTTACTTGGCTTATGTTTGAACCTAGGTACCCTTTGGGCTATATGATAATTTAAATTCTAACCATTTTGGTCAGAAATCGAAAAGAAATCTGTATTTAATTATTGTTTCTTTAGCTTGTTAGAACTTCTTGAAATTTTTCCTCCAAGTAATTGAAAATCTTAGAACACAATGCTTGTGATCCATTGTAGGTAGTCTTCTGTAGGTGCCTGGAGAAAGCACAGTAAGAAAATGCACTCAGTTATGGTCTTTAGCCTATTTGGTTGAAGTTGGTGTCCTGCGTTAAGTGTTACTGATGGTGGTTTTGTTTTTACAGGAGCAGGAAAATTCAGATTCGAAACATCCCTCCTCACCTGCAGTGGGAGGTAAGCCCATGTCACTTTCTAAGAGATTTCCAAGACATTTTCTTCCTGTTCAGTTCACCTTCCTGGGTAGGAATTAGAGGCTTCTCAAAGCCTGGGCCACACCTACCCTCAGTGCATATATATATATATATATATATATATATATATATATATATATATATATGTCATGAGTTTGGGGCCTTATTTGTTCTTTCCATTGTACTGAATGTACTTAGATCTCTTCTAATCTGCTTTCTTAAATACCAGGCCACCAAGCACCAACAAACAAGTTGGGAAGCAAAATTTGTACCTGGTTGGTGGCTTTTATCACATGATTTGGCAAGAGATTTTATCTTTTCCAATTCTGATGGGGGATGGGGGATGGGAGACCAACAGCATAGAAAGTTCTTTGTTAGTCTGAGCAGGTTTATATGTTTTGATTTAGTTGCTATGACAGTTAAGATATATTTTCAGAGCTCTAAAACATCTTCTAAGATCACTATCTTAATGTAAAATAAGATAGACTGTGGGGAGAGGCCTTATTGCTTATTTAAGAACAGATTGCCCCATGTTTTATTCCCCAACTCAGAGGAAATCAAAATAGCCTTAAAGGAAACAAAATGTTTTATCTAATGTTTTCATTACTTTAAAAAAGAAACTTTTTTTTTTAATCATGGAAAGTTTCAAACATACCCATACCACTACTTTGTGAAACAAGCAGATCCCTGGAGGAAAGTTGAAGGAAGAACTGTTAAATCTCCCAAGGAGAAGTGAGCCTTGTACTCCATGGTGCTTTTCAAGAGTAGTTCCAACCATCACCATGAATGTGAATGTTCCCAGTTCCCAGTTCCAGTTCTGTGCTCTCACCTTAGTGAGTAGATTACTTAGGAGCCAATGAACAATGTCCTTGCACGTTCATGTTTATTCAGTTCTGTTGTCAGTGAAAACTTGAAATATCAATGATTAAATTGGCTGACCTTGTTTTACTTTATTTGCTGGAGGGAAATCACTGTGTCATTTTTTTGTGAGTATGATCTGTTCTTCCCTTCTGACACTGAAGCTTTCTTTAACAGGTATTGGATGGACTGTTGGCCCAGTATGGGACAGTGGAGAATGTGGAACAAGGTAATAAATGAGATCATCCTTAGTTTTAGAGGAATGTTACCTGTTATTTCTTATGGGCTAGGGTCCGCTCCAGGCAAAATAGTAAATTCATGTTCTTTTCTATGTGCTTCATGAGGAGGAGATCTCTCTCTCCCTCTCTTTCTCCCTCTCCCTCCCCCCTCATCCTCCTCTTCTCCCCTCTCTCCCTTCCCCTTCTCTTCTCTCCCCCTCTCCCCCTATCTCTTTCTTCCTCTCTCCCTCTTCCCCCTTTCCCTCTCCCTCATTACACACACACACACACACACACACACACACACACACACACACACACACGGAAAGAGAGAGAGAGATCTGTATACATCTGTATAGTTTGTCAAGGAATGTCATTTTCAGGTCATTTTTCTTACACTTTGCAATGTGCTGAAGCGTTGGGAAACTGTATGAGAAAGCTAGATTTCTAGTGTGTTTACCGATGAGTAGGACTCTTACGCTAAGACTCTCTTATAGTACTTTTGGAAATGCAGACCCTTAAATTTTTTTTTCTTTTGTGCTGGTCCTGGGGCTTAAACTCAAGTCCTAGGAGTTGTCCCTGAGCTTTTATGTGCAAGACTAGTGCTCTGCCACTTAAGCAACAGCTCTAGATAGGATTACAGGTGTGAGCCACTGGTGGAAAAGAGCTTAGGAATCAAACACTCCAAATGATTTTTGTGTGCTCTCAGGTTTGAGAAGTACCAGCATAGAAATAGTGCTATACATGCACAGAAAGCACTGTATTTCTTCCTGTTGTCCTATTTATTCCTCTAAAACACGGAGTACTATGATTTTTAGCAGGATGGAAAAATATGCCTAATGCTGATAGCTTGTATAGCTCCTTAAGAATCACAGAAAAACTGATCCCAAGATCTTGATATTAAAGACAATGTGATCAAGATTATTGTTGCCTTGACCTAAAAAAATCAAAGTGCAAATTCAGTCACTTGTTGTTGGCCCTTGGAAAAGTTATTCAACCTCACTGATGTAGTTTCCACATGTGCAAAATGGGGAGGATTATTTTTGCCCTTCTCTATCACTAAATAGTTGTGATACCTAAAGAGAACATGAGTAAGATATTTTAGATAGTAGAGTCTCACATAATCTTAGGGATTTTAAAGGTTCTCTTAGGAAAATTCATATGCAGTGTGTTTTATTTACCAGTATAATTAATACATTTTTTTTCTTTGTGCCAGAACTGGGGCTTGAACTCAGGGCTTCAAGCTCTCAGTCTTATCATTTAAGCCATGCCTGAACTTCCAACTCTTTTTTTGCTGGCAATATGGAGATTAAAGTCTCCTGGATTTGTTTGCTCCGGCTTGTTTGGATCCTTGATTGTCAGATCTCACTCAGCTTTCTAGTAGCTAGGATTATAGGTATGAACTACTTGCACCTGGCTATATAATAGTTTAAAAATAGTAATTATTCGGATGTTCTCTACTCCATGAACATTAAAATTATTATTATTTAGTTGCATGTTCTTGATTGCTCCTGGCCAAAGGAAAAAGAGGAAAGAGTTCAGAATGAAGATATAATTTACAAGGATTCAATCTATTAGTTCTTCTTTTCCTCAGCATGGAAAAGACACTATGATAATTGACCGTAGTAGACAAGGTGGCCTTCTAAACATGAGCCTATAAAAATTACTAATTTATGCCTTAACACTAGCTACTTAGAGACTGAGATCTGAGGATTGCAATTCGAAACCAGCCTAGTTAGGAAAGTCTGTGAGACTCTTACCTCCAATTAACCAGCAAAATGCAGGAAGTATAGGTGTGAGTCACTGTTATACATATTCATTAACTTACTTTTCAACTGACATTTCAAAATGCACATACTTAAGATAAAAATTATAGTTCACAGATGATATTAATATGGCTGCACAGATACAGAGAAAAAAGAAAAAGCTGTGGGTCAAGTATTAGAGCACTAGCTTTTTTTTTTTTTTTTGGTCTGGTCATGGGGCTTGAACTCTGGGCCTGGGCGCTGTCCCTCAGCTCTTTAGCTCAAGGCTAGTGCTCTACCACTTGAGCCACAGCACCACTTCCGGCTTTTTTCTTTTTTCTTATATGGTGCTGAGGAATCGTACCCAGGGCCTCAGGCATGCAAGGCAAGCGCTCTACCACTGAGCCACCTTCCCAGCCCCTAGACCACTAGCTTTGAGCAAGAAAAAGCTTAGGACAGTGCCCACTCCCTGAGATCAAGCTCCAGGACTGGCACCAAAAAAAGTTACTAGTTGAGCCCAGCATGGTGGTACATTCCTTTAATCTCAATAAATCAAGTGGTTCAGGCAAGCCGGGCACTGGTGACTCCTGCCTATAATCCTAGCTACTCAAGAGACTGAGATCTGAGGATCATGGTTTAAAGCCAGACCAGGCAGGAAAGGCAATGAGACTCTTAATCTGCAATAACTACCAGAAAACTAGAAGCAGTGATGTAGCTCAAAGTGGTAGAGTGCTAGTCTTGAGCAAAAGAGCTCGGGGACAGCGCCCAAGTTCAAGCTCCATGACTGACCAAAGAACAAACAAAAGAGTTTAAGGCAGGAGAATCACAAGTTCCAGGCTAGCTTGGGCTGTGTAGTATCTCCAACACCCCCCCCCCCAAATTACCTAGCTAAAAACATGTTACATATTTAGCACAGTACACTACACAAGGAAGACATATCCCAGATCCCAGTTCATAGCTCCTTGGTTCCCTGGGCCCTGGAAATTGCCTAATTAGTTTCTAGCGGCGTCACAGTTGTGAGGATAGAACTGTTGGACTATTTTGTTCTTTCTTTTTTTATTATTTTATTTTCTTTTATTTTTTTGTCAGTCATGGGATATGAACTCTGGGCCTGGGCGCTGTCCCTCAGCTCTTCAGTTCAAGGCTAGCACTCTCCATTTGAGCCACAGCACTACTTCCTGCTTTTTCTGCTTATGTGGTGCTGAGGAATTGAACCCAAGGCCTCATGCATACAAGTCAAGCACTCTACCACTGAGTCACATTCCCAGCTCTTACTTTGTTCTTTCATGAGTGATTCCTGATCATGCAGAATATTTTTCGACAGTGGTAGAAATACCATAGTTTTCATGTCCATTGAAATAAATTATGTGAATAAAGCTCAACTCATTCCTGAATCAAAACACTGCCTCATTTCCTGGAGATAAACATCACCGAAGAATAGGAAATATGACTATAAAGTGAGACCAAACCTTGAGAATCTGGGAGTTGTGGAAGATAACTTTATTCAGGAGGCTCAAGCACAGCCCTTCCTGGGAGCCAGAATCTGTAGCCTAGGGGCATCAAAAACAAAGGCTCTGCAATGTTCTGTGTGTCTTCACACGCAGAACACGGATTATTATGGGATAGACTTCCCCTGTTTTGGCCTGTGAGAGTGTCTGTGGATTAGAGAGCAGTGTGAAAGTTCCCTGGCAGTGGTTGGGGCTGGGCTGAGCATGGATAACATGGTAGCTTTTAGAGGCAGCTCCCGTCCCCTCTAAGGCAGATGCCATTTTGCAATTATTAGACAAATAGTATTTTTATCCCAAAACTTTTATTGTTTTGGTTGTCCCAAACCTGTTTGAGGTTTAAGACTTACAAAAATGATAACTAGTTTACCCAGGTGCCAATGGTTCTCATACCTGTAATCCTAGCTACTAGGGAGGCTGAGATCTGAGGCTTGCACTCCAAAGCCACCCCAAGCAGGAAAGTCCGTGAGACTCCTGTGCTCATTTGAGCTGAAGAACTCAGGGACAGTGCCCAGGCCCAGAGTTCAAGCCCTGTGACCAGCCAAAAAAAAAAAAAAAAAGCTCAAGGACAAAGCCTAGGACTGTCCTTCACCCCTCACCAAAAAAACAAGAAAAGTTTAAATTTCAGTTTTGAATTATGTGGAAGGTAGAGGCAATGGAATCCCTGAAGCTCAGGCATAGATAGAAGTTAAGAACCATTAGATTATTATTAAGGCTTTATTGCTATCTTGAAATGTAGCTTTCTTATGATTTTCTTAAATTATACTTAATAAATCTCTCAACAGTTTTGAAAAGAGAATTTGATCTAGTGCTTTCTCTTAGGGAAAAAATGATACTTTTAAAAGTTATATTTCCTGGTTTGAAAAGAAATAAATATTAATCTGGCTTTTTGAATTTACTTGAAATATCTGACTGTGAAAGAAATAGCAAGCAATTATCAACCAGGATAATCCAGCTCAAAAGAGTGATTCCTTATTGGCCAATCCTAGAGTCCGTGTGTTCTTTCATTTAGCCAAGTAATTGGAATTGTTAATTTTTATTGTTACAGTTACTAGATTTAGTTCATCCAGTCCATAAGGGAAAAAAATAGTTATATGCCTTTCCAACTTTGTCAAGGAATGTAACATTAAACTCTTTGTAAAAAGATGGACTCATTTCAAGAGAGAGCAATGTGGTGACTCTAGTTAATAGCAATATATCTACACTTGAAAATTGCTCAAAGTAATCTTTCAGTGTTCTTTTATAGACACACACTAAAAAGTAGTATGTGAGAAAATGCATATATATGCAAAATAACTTGAAGTAGCCATTCTGCAATGTGTATAATACCAAAACAAGTCATATTTATGTGCCATAAGTATATGCAATTTTTACTTGTCAGTCAAATTCTAATAACATTATATGTGTATATATACACAGTTGCTTTAAATGTAAATCATAACAATTAAAATTTATACTTATTAGAAGCCGAGTAAATTGAACCAAACTTTTATATAAGGCAGCAATTTGAAAATATACATTTAAAAACATCATGTTCTTTTTCCCAATTTTTGTCTTATATGATTTTATTTTTTTTTAATTTTTTATTGTAAAAATACTGTACAGAGGGGTTACAATTACATGGGCAAGACAATGAGTACATTTCTTAGCAAGCATTGTAGCCTCCTCCTTTGTTTCCCCTTCCCATCCCTTCCCATTGTCTCATATGATTTTAAACTATAAAAGTAATTCTACTGGGTGCCCATGGCTCATACCTAGCTACTCAGAAGGCTGAGATCTGAGGATCTTGGTTTGAAGCCAGTCCCAGCAGGAAAGTCTGTGAGACTCTTAGCTCCAATTAACCACCAGAAAACCAGAAATGACACTGTGAGTCCAAGTGGTAGAGTGCTAGCCTTGAGCAAAAAAGCTCAGGGCAGTGCCCAGGCCTTGAGTTCAAAACTCATGACAGAGGAGCACAAAATCAAATGTTTTTTGCAACAAAGATGATTTATAGCCACACTATTTAGTAGAATAGCAAATATTAGGAATAATACATTTGCTAGCTGCATAACAATTAGGTATTTTGCTCACTACAAATTTATGTAGACATTAAAATGAAAAATATAAAGAAAATGTGCATATACTTATGCTCATGTGAAATGTTTGTGAAAATACAGCTTTATAGTATATACAGTTGACTTGCAAATTACTATTAATAGAAGTGCAAAACAACTACAGAATTAGGGCAGTGTGATTTTTTTAGTGTGTTTTTCTCTTAAGGTTGCTATGTCTACCTAGAAACAGAGAAGATAGTTGTTTTTAAATGATAATGTCGTTTAAAAAATATTTTATTATCTTCAAGTAGTTATACAAAGGAGTTTCCATTCAACAAAGCAGTTTATAAATGCAGTGCATTTTGATCAATGTCACGCCTTTTAACGCTCTCACCCACCTCTCCTAACCTTATCCCTTCCCTCACTTTTCTAAATTTTTTAGGATACATATTGAATTTGTTTTGCCATTTTAACAAAGAGTTTATGTATATAATGCATCTTAATCTGTCATCCTTTCAACATTTTTACTTCCCTTTGACTTGCCCCTTCCCTTATTTTTCTTAATTTTGTATATACAATGAATTATTGACCATCCTTCCCCCTTTTGTTCTTCTACCCCTCTTTCTTAGCCCTTCCCCCTTGTAAGTACCCATTTTCTGGTACTTATTTTGTTGGGTTTTGCCTTAGTCTTCCTAAAAAATTATACTATTTGGGATTTCCAAAGAGTCTATTATACTTCAGTTTATTTACTTGTATCCACTAGCATACCATTCAGCATGTTTACTTATAGATTTATAGGCACATTTTAGCTACTACAAATGAAGGAAACCCTGCAGCCTGTTTCTAGTCTTTCCATTTCCTTATGAACGGTACAATATGATTTCTTCTGATGGATGAGTAGAGTCCCATTGTACATATGCCACATACACCATGGGTATATGAGGTCACAATGGGTCTGTGAGGTCACAGTGTGACATACATCATAACTGTCATGAGGTCATAATGGGTGGTGTCACATTGGCAATGTGAGGTTATAATCACTACGAGACCACAATGGATCAGTGATGTCACAGTGGGGGTCAGTAATATCTGAATGGCAATGAGACTTCACAATAGTCATAAAAATCCCAGTGAGAATAAATGTCACAATGGGTCTGCCTCAATAGGGATAGGAAGGAGCAGTGGTCATGAGGTCACAATGAGAGACTAGTGACATCACAATGGCAGTATGAGGGAGCAATGCTCACAATGTATATATGAGGTCACAATGGGTCTGTGATATCACAATGCCAATGTAAAGTCACACTCATGAGATCACACCATGTCTGTGATGTCACAATGCAATGAGAGTGCACGATGGTCATGATGTCACAATAGCAGTATGAGGTCACATTTGGTCTGTCACCATGGCAATGTAAGATCTCAGCGTTCATCAGGTCACAATGGGAATGTGAGGTCACAATGCCTATTCGGTGTCACAATGGTGATGTGAGAGCACAGTGAGTCAGTGATGTCACCTTGGGTCTGTGAATGAACAGTGGTGGAGGTCACAGTAGATGGCACACTGGAGATACGGCGATACCAGAGCTCTTGTCTGCTCACTCAGATGCAAAGCTCTAATCTGGAAATCCAGCTGGAGAGTGGACAACCGGGAAAGGCAAGCATTCAGAGCCTAGCACCAATCAAGAAACACCAAAACTTGTGTCTCAGAAAGAAGAGAAAAATGACAGAACGATAATGTAGTTTTTGCTTCTCCCCTAGTCAATACAGACACAGAAACTGCAGTCGTCAATGTCACCTATGCAACACGAGAAGAAGCAAAAATGTAAGTGGTTTGTGTTTGTTTCCTTGTGAATTTATTTTGATTTGTTTTTAGATTCCGTTGAATCCTGCATTTGTAAACCTTTTTGAAAAGACTATTAGTGATCCATGCCAACTTTGACATAGCCAAAGAGCACTATTGCATCTGAGCTGGCGTATCTCCAGGTATTCCTGCCACCTTTGACACATCAATGATGCTCCAAGGCATTCATACTAGTCGGTTTGGTGGTCATACAGAGCCACCGTCTTAAATAGTGCTGAGCTGTAACATCAAAAGAAGGCAAGAAGAGCCATGGGATACCATGGCCAAGAATAGAAGACAGTAGCTCTGAAACACTGTGTCTCCTAGATCCTCCTAAACCCCTTTTACCTTGACCTTCCTCAGCCTTCTTCTGTCCATCCTCACTGAATGGGTTCTGAAACAATAATTCTTCCCCCATGCAATATTAAAATGAATGTCCACCTCAATGACAACAGTAGGCAGAATTGTCTGGGAGCTGCACTGGTTTGTTTTCTTTATTCCTCCCTCTTCCCCTCCTCCCTCTTCCCAATCTGCATTCATTGTGTTAATCTTCAGTGATGGTTTTAACTTCAGCAATGGTTAATTTTGAGTATTGTGGTTCTTGGGGAGTATTGGAGATTGAATTCAGGATCTTACTGAATTCAAGGCCTTGCTCTTGCTAGTTAGGCATTCTCCACTTGAGCCATACCTCCAGTCCCATTTTGCCTTCAGTATTTTCTAGGTAGGGTCTTATTTCCCAGACTAGCCTGGGCTTTACTTCTCCTACTTGTGCTTCCCTGTGGCAATATGGGGGTCACAGTTGGTCTGTGATGTCACTGTGGCAATGTGAGGTCTCAGTGTTCATGAAATCACAATGGGAATGTGAGGTCACAGTGAATGTTTGATGTCACAATGGCGGTGTGAGATCACAGTGAATCAGTGATGGAATTCACAGTGGTGATGAGATCACTGTGAATGGCACTGTGTCACTGGGGATGACAGTTGTGTGCCCAGCCATTGTTCTCCATGTAGCTAGGGATGACAGGTATGTAACACCACAGGCCCAGCCATTGATCAAGATGGAGTCTTTTGTGAACTTCTATAGTTGGATGCCCTTGAACAGGGATTCTAGTTTTAAGAAGGTTAATTTTTCATTGAAAAAGATAAATGTATTAAGCTTTGCATATGCAAGTAAGCAGAAGATATACCCCTAACTTAACATTCCAGTCCTTGTCCAGCCACCACTTTAGGTGGACATCTGTACATGGTACCCTGTCGCCTTTCTTCAGTTCAAAAGGTACTGCCTCGTAATAAATGCATCAGCCTTGAACAGTGCAGTAGTGGGTTGGTGCCTATCCTTTATCATATTACATTAATAGCTATTTTTAAATAACATGACTAAGCCAGGTGCTGGTGGCTTATGCATGTAATCCCTACCTAGTTGGGGGACTGAGATAGGGAAGATCTTGGTTCCAGGCCAGGTCAAACATAAAAATTCATGAGACTCCATCTCAGTAGAAGAAACAATATAATGGCTCATACTTGTCATCCCAGCTACAATAGGAGTCTAAATAGGAGAGTTGAGGTCCTGGCTACCTTGTGGAAAAAGTGAGACCCTGTCTCCAAAAAAAATAAAGACAGTGCAAAAATAGGGGGTTTGGCTAGAAGCATGGCTCAGTGATAAAATACTACCCTAGCAAATATGAGGCTCTAAGTTCAAAACCAATACCACCAAAAATGTGATTTTAAGATTAAAGGACCTAAATGACTCTTAATTTCCTATGGGATAGTAAGTATTGAAGCCTTTCCAGACGGACACTCAGCAGTAATTAAGAGTAACGGGGACACCAGTAGCTCACACAAGTAATCTTAGCTACTCAGGAGGCTAAGATGTGAGGATGAAGGTTCCAAGCCAGCCCGGGTGGGAAAGTTTATGAAATTCTTTTGTTTAATTAACCAGCAAAAACCAGAAGTGGCTCAAGTGGTAGACACTTACATACCTGGAACAAGAAAAGCTTAGGGATAGTTGCCCAGACCTTGAGTTCAATCCCAGGATAGGTACCAAAAAAAAAAAAAGGTAATGTTAGAGGAGGGAAGGCACAGAAAATGTAATAAAGGTGAGTGGCATTGATATAAATATGTATGGAGATATAACAATATATAATTAATATAATTAATTATAAGTTATATGACTAATGAAAGAGTAGTGTTAGAGTGCTGGGAGTGAGGCTCAGTGTTAAAGTGCTTGACTATCATGTGGCAGGTACTGGGTTTGATTCCTAGCACTGCAAAAAACAACAACAAAAGTTATACTCTGACTCGATAATCTTCTAGGAATATGTCCTATATGCAAAGCTGTAGTTGCAAAGCTACTCATAGTAACACTGTAAAAGATATTCACCAGGCATCAGTGGCTTATGCCTATAATCCTAACTGCCCAGGAGGCTGAGATCTGAGGGATCTCAGTTCAAAGCTATCATAATCAGAAAAGTCAGTGAGACTGTTTACTCCAGTTAACTACCAAAAGCCAGAAATGAAGCTGTGGCTCAAGTGATAGAATGCTAATCTTGAACGAAAATGCTAATGGAATGTGCCTAAGCCCTGAGTTCAAGCCCCAATACCTGAACCAAAAAACCAAAACCAAACAACAACCCCCCCCCCCACAAAACTGTAAAAGATTAGATATAATCTAGGCATCTTAACAGTAGAGCATGGCCTAAAAAAAAAAAACTGTAGTAACTGTAGAATTTTAAATAACCACTTAAAATTATTCCAAAAAGTATTTAATGGCATGAAAGATGTTTAGAATATTAACTTTTTATTAGTATATCTTAATTGCAAAGTGGGTATTAACTGACTTTTAAAGGTTCAAAAATAGTATACAGTAGTCAGTTTTTTAAATAAATAATATATGTAAGCAAGGGAGGAAATAGATTATGATTTTCCTGATTTACATTTATATAGTTCTGAATTTTCTCAGACATTTAAGTATTTTATGTTAGCATTTAAAATAATCATAGATTGTATGTTAGTGATTAAGAAGATGAATTGTAATTTGGGGTTTGGTGAGGGACATACAGGCTTGGGTAGTGAAGAAGAAACAAGAATGAAAATTGTATATCAAGTGTGAGGCTTAGACAGTATGATTACTTGTTTGTTAACCACAAGCTCTGAGTGAGCAGAGATGTTGTTTGTCTTGCGCATCTCTGTATCCTCAGTGCCTGGCACCAGCACCCACACAGGCGCCTGGCAAACAAAAGCTAATGGATCTTTCTTGAGTTTCCTCTCTGACAAAGCTTCTTCAACCCTCCTGCATTTCAGAGCCATCGAGAAGCTAAGTGGGCATCAGTTTGAGAACTATTCCTTCAAGATTTCCTACATCCCGGATGAAGAGGTGAGCTCCCCTTCGCCCCCTCAGCGAGCCCAGCGTGGGGACCACTCTTCCCGGGAGCAAGGCCACGCCCCTGGGGGCTCTTCTCAGGCCAGACAGATTGATTTCCCGCTGCGGATCCTGGTCCCCACCCAGTTTGTTGGTGCCATCATCGGAAAGGAGGGCTTGACCATAAAGAACATCACTAAGCAGACCCAGTCCCGGTATGTGCCTCCGGGGTTTCCTTTGCTTCCTCTTGAGGGGTCCCCTGAGTCCTGGGGCTTCAGCCACCCTCAGAACACTATTGCTTACATCAGCAGTGGGGGGTGCTGTGCTCTTTGAGAGAGGGCTTCTCTCAACAGGACTACTAACAGACTAACATCAAAATGGGGACTGTAATGAACTTTTATGCTAATCACCTAACATGGCTTCCTGGAAGGCTAAAGGTCTATAAAGAAAGCGCTGATAGCTGGGCACTGGTGGCTCACACCTGTAATCCCAGCTACTCAGGAGGCTGAGCTCTGAGGATCATGATTCAAAGTCAGCTTGGGCATGAAAGACCATGTGATTCTTATCTCCAGTTAACTACTACAAAGCTAGAAATGGAGGTGTGGCTCAAAGTGATAGAGCCTTGAGCTCAAAAGCTCGAGGAATGTCTAAGCCTTGAGCTCAAGCTCCAGGACTGGCACTAAAAAATAAATAAAGTAAATAAATAAAGCACTGATGACCTCTTAGCCAAGGATTGTCCCGTAAGCTAATACTGTGAATTCAACTAGTACTAACACAGCTGAGGTATGGGGCTCTGTGGGATGCTGGAACTTGTTCATCTCAGCTCTTAACTTCCTGCCCTGAGTCAGAACCCTAAAGGTAGCCATTCTTGTGACCACCAAGGGAGCCTCACATAGAAGTAGTGAGTCACTGCAGGAGCAAGCCAGCAACAAAGTACACTGGCCCTGTGTCTGGCTTTCTTGTTTGAGGATATTGAACTGGTGGTAGTAGTCAGTGGATAAAATGACTTGTGGAGTTGAGTTTTATATTAAGACCACACAGCACAAAATGTAATGAAGAAAATATGAGGATTAAAAATAATTACTCATGTTTGAGTTCACTTAATTGATATACAATTGTGAGGTGATTTTTTTTTTTGATGGCCTGGGGCTTAAATTTAAGGCTTAGGTGTTGTTTCTGAGCTTTTGGTTTTTTTTTTTTTTCCTTTTTGGTCAAGGCTAACACTCTTAACACTTGAGCCACACCTCAACTTCTGGCTTTTGGCTAATTGGTTGGAGATAAGGGTCTCACAGACTTTCCTGCTCAGGCTGGCTTTGAAACAAGGTTTTCAAAACTTAAGTCTCCTGAGTAGCTAGGATTAAAGGTATGAGCCACCATTGCCTGGCAAGACATTTTTTTAAGCAAGCATCAATTGCTTGCTTAAAAAAAAAAAAAAAGATTACTATTTTGTTTGTGTGAGAATTACAACTATTAGGCAAGATTAAATGAAATCATTGAAAGGTGCTGGTGATTTGCACATGTAACCCTAGCTACTAAGAAGGCTGAGATTTTAGGATTGAGGTTTAAATTTGGGGTCAGAAGGTCTGTGAGACCCTTATCTCCAATTAACCAGCAAAAGCCAGAAGTGGAGGTGTATGGTTCAAGTGGTAGAGCAAAAAGCTAGGTGAGAACATGAGACTCTGAATTCAAGCCCCAGGACTGGCACGTGTGCACACACGTGCACACCCACACCTACACCCCCAGTGAAATCATTAATATAAAAGCACTTAAATTGCAACGCACAGATTATTGGCAAACATTAGTTATTTACATATGATAATATATTTGATTGAGGCCACTGAATGAATCCCTGTAATCTGAAAGATAAAATGCCATTTTCTTCAAAGTGACTGAGTTACCTTCCCCCCAGTATAGATCCTCACATGGATAAGCTCAGAATACAGACCTTCAGGAGGGAAATGTTGGAATACTGTAGTTATTGCCCGATGTTACTTTCATTTTAAAAGCTCTTTTTCCCCCTACCAAGTTTGTTGCACTGTGAAAGTGATTTTTTAAGAATGTATATCTCTTTTTATTTCCAAAATGGTTTAAGCTAGCTTGCAAAGTGGAACAAGGTTAAATTGAAGTGCAAATAGCTCAAAGACTCGGCTCTGGGGTCTGATAGCCGAAGTAAAAAGGGATGCAATCAATTATGTGATTTTTGAAATTTCACAAAAACAAGTAGGGCGACAACTACCCGAAAAAAGTCTGGGAAAGTCATCAAGCTTTTGAGCCATTAGTTTTACGAGCTTAGAGGAAGGCAGGCTGCCAATAGAAAGGAAACCAAAAGCTTAGAGAGGCGGTGGGAGAGCATGCCTCTGTTTTCTATCCGCACTCAAATACATAAAGCATACTTGAATTTGGTATTTGGATTTGGATTAACATACAGCTTTGTAAAGCTGCAGTCAGTTGAAAGAGTGGCAGTATGCCGGCATTCTCACTTGACTCTTCACTTCTACAGTCATTTAGAAGACTATACAAATAGGTCATTTACCAAACTAGCTTCATCACCAAGCTGGTGTGGTGCCTTTGTCCCACAGCACTCTTGTAAGAATAGTCCCCTTCTAACTGGAGCTGCAGAAGATTAAGGTCTGACACAAAACCCCTGCACTGCTTGCCTCCTTCTTGGAGAATGGCATTGGTTGCAGATGGGCTAATAATTCTTTCTGGTCTGTCTGGGTCCTTGCTGTCCTTTGGCTGTTTTCTTGGGTATTATCCCAGATAATATTGTACTTACAGCTTCTGATTGTTTTCCTACAGGGTTGACATCCATAGAAAGGAGAACTCAGGGGCTGCCGAGAAGCCTGTCACCATTCATGCCACGCCAGAGGGGACGTCTGAAGCATGCCGCATGATTCTTGAAATCATGCAGAAAGAAGCTGATGAGACCAAACTGTAAGTCTGTGTGATAGTCCTCTTTGCACTCAAGTGAGTAAAAGCAAGAAATATGTTATCTACCAGTGTTACCTACCCTTAGTCCTAGCCACTCTGGAGGCTGAGAGCTGAGGATCATGTTGCCTAAGCAAGAAAGGTCATGGGACTCTTTTCTCTAGTTAATCACTAAAAAGCCAGAAGTGGAAGCTGTGGCTGAAGCGGAAGAGTGCCATCCTTGAGTGATAAAGCACCCAAGGTCTTAATTCAAGTTCGAAGACCCGTGAACCTCTCCCTCTCCCCCCAAAAGTTACTAGGCACATGTTGCTATCAAGTACTTTAAGCAGGAATAGAACAGTAAGGAACTGAATGTTCTATCTTCACAAATTCAAATTTCGTTGCACAGCATAGGTGTAGAATATACATGGTTGCTGAGTGCTAGTGGCTCATTCCTGTAATGCTAGCTACTCAGGAGACTGAGATCTGAAAATCATGGTTCAAAGCCAGTCCAGGCAGGGATTTCCATGAGACTCTTATCTCCAATTAACCACCAAAAATTTTTTTTAAAAAAGAAAAAGCTGAAAGTGGAACTGTGGCTCAAGTGGTAGAGTGATAGCCTGTATAGCTCAGGGACAGTGCCCAAGTCCTGAGTTCAAGCCCTAGTACTGGCACACACACACACACACACACACACACACACAAACAAAAAACAGCAACAAAAAAGAAAGTACATTATCACCAAAGTCTTCTTTTATTGCTCAGGAATTTTTTTTCACCATGCTTCTAGACTATATGCATTCTTAAATTAGGGTTACATTTTCTTAAATAAGGGATAGCATTACTCTTTACTTTTTTTTTCTTTTATCTTGCCCCTCCATTTCTTTCATGGAGTAGTTCTCTTAGGGTACCATGATGTAGTAAGCATTGTATCAGTTTGTATGGCAAATATAAGATCTTGCTAAACAATTTGGTTTTGTATTATAATGAATGAATAGAATAGATGACATTATATTTTAAAAGACTGTCAGATTGACAAAAATCTGTTTGTGGACTGTGGTGGTAGTTTCTGAATTGAATATTAAATTAATTTGGCAAATAATGTGACTTATGACTATTCTAAAACCAAGATGAAAGTCATTTGTGAGAGAAACTTTGCAAATATATACTTAGATTACATGAAGAAGTCCTTTTCTTTCATTTATCAATTTGCTGTTCCTGGAATAGTAAAGAAGGGCTTAACCCTTCTTTCATCTAAATTATTGAGAATTTTATAAATAATACCCTTCTCCTTCCTTTGACTGAGATGCAGCAGTTTAGAAAAGTATAGTCAAATAGACTGATCTGTAAATTGAGTTTTAAGTTTTAAGCTTTTATGTAGAGCCAAGCTGGAGTTTGAATACCTTTGATCTTTCTTTCTTTCTTTTCTTTCTTTTTGTTTTTTGTTTGCCTTTATTGGGGTGTGAACTTCATTAGCTTTTTACTTAAGACAGGTGCTTTACCACTTCAGCCACACCTTCATTTCTGCCTATTTTGCTGGTTAATTGGAGACAAGAGTCTTGAATTTTTCTGCCCAGGCTGAATTTGAACCACAATCTTAGTTCTCAGCTATTCAAATATCTAGGATTACAGGCATAAGCCACTGGCATCTAGCTCACCTTTGCAATGAAGTTTTCTGAGTACCTGCACTGTGCTACACATGGTGATGATTGTTTTTTTGTTCTGTTTTTTTTTGGGGGGGAGGTCCGGTCATGGGGCCTGAACTCTGGGCCTGGGCGCTGTCCCTCAGCTCTTCAGCTCAAGGCTAGCGCTCTACCACTTGAGCCACAGCACCACTTCCGGCTTTTTTCTTTTTGCTTATGTGGTGCTGAGGAATCGAACCCAGGGCCTCAGGCATGCAAGGCAAGCGCTCTACCACTGAGCCACCTTCCCAGCCCCGATTGTTGAAGCTACCATCATGAGTAAAATATAGTCCTTGCTTTGATAGAGTGTACAGTCCAGTGGGAGAGACACTCACTAAAGAAATAATTACACCAGTAAGTAATTAAGTGCAGCTGTGAGAAATGCTACAGTGGAAAAATGCAGTGTCTTATGACTACATGTCATGTGAGGCCCTAATCAAGGTTTTATGGGACAGGAAGGGACATGAGGGTCTTAGGGAAAATGTTACTATGTAGGTGACAGAGCTTTGATGGGGGTGAGTAGAGGGAAAAAGATGCAGGAGAACCAGGATCCTAACCCTTACTGTTATTCACTTCCAAAGTATTTGTTGAGCACCTTACTGTGTGCCAGCCTGTACTTTGCATGCCAGGAACTGAGCAGTGAACAAATTGAACAAAACAGTCTGCCCTCTAAAGTTACATTCTGGTGGAGCTTTTTTTTTTTTTTTACAAAGCATAATTTTCCAAGCTTTTTCTGTAGTAATGCATCTGTCTAGCAATTTGGTCTCAAGTAATAGGAAACATAAGTGGCCTAAAGAGTAAGAAATAATAATTACGGCTCATAACAGGAAGCCCTAAGTTAGAATAACTTTAAGGCCCTTTGAATCATGGATTCAAAGTACTGTGAGGACATTTTTCTGATTTTCTTTTTCTTGTGATGGCTTCTGTCCTCTTGGTGATGATATATTATTGGATTTCAGGTATTCTATTTCCATAGAAAAATATTCTAAGCTTGAAGGAGGGCATGACTACCTGTTAAAAAAAATGTTTTTAAGGATTTTCTAAAACACATGTGACATAAATTTTACCATGTTAACCTTTTTTTTAAAAAAAAAAAAGTGTTTTGGCATACTGGGGTTTGAACTCAGAGCCTCTCACTTTCTAGACAGGCTATCACTTGAACCACGACACTAGCCCCTTTTTGTTTTGGTTATTTTCAGATAGGGACTCCTATTAGGCCTGGCTATCCTGGACTGTGATCCTCATGTTTATTTATTCAAGTGGCTTTAGCATTGCCACATTCAGCCATTGGTTGAGATAATGCCTTGTGATTTTTTTTCCTTTTCTTTTCTTTCCTCTTTTTTTTTTTTTTTTGAGGGGGGGGGGGGAGGGAGAACATTGATCTTGGAGCTTGAACTCAGGTGCTTTCCTTGAGCTTCTTTTGCTCAAGACTAACACTCTACCACTTGAGCCACAGCTCCACTTGCATCTATTTGGTAGTTTATTGGAGATAAGAGTCTCATGGACCTTCCTGCCTGGGTTGGCTTCAAACTCTGATACTCAGATCTCAGCTTCCTGAGTAGCTGGGATTATAAGTGTGAACACCAGCACTCAGCACTTGTGAATTTTTTGGTGGAGAGGTTCCTGAACTGGCCTTAAACTATGAAACCCTAATCTTTCTCCCTCTTAAGTAGCTAGAATTACAGGTTTAAGCCATTATACCTGGCTCCATCTTAATCATTTTTAAGTATACAATTAAATTGTGGTAAATGTATTCATTTACATTGTTATGAAATCAGTATCCAGAACTTTCTTATCTTGCAGATCTGAAATTCTGTAACCATGAAGTAGCTCTCTGTTTCTAACCTCCCTTACCCCTGGTGAACCCCACCACTATACTTTGTATTCTTACAAGTTTGATTACTTTGGGTACTTCATGGAATCACACAGTATTTGTCTTCTTGTGATGGACTTATTTTACTAAGCGTCAAGTTCTTCCATGTTGTAGCATGAAACAAGACTTCCTTTCCTTTAAGTCTAATAGTATTTTATTGTGTTGTATGCCACATCTGTTTATTCATGAGGGGAATTTTGTATTTTGTATTTCTCCATCTCACTACTAGTGAAGATTGTTGCTGTGACTGAGTTTGCAAATAATTTCATTTCCCATTCTTTTAGATGTATGCCCAGAGTAGGATTGCTGAATCATATGGTGGTTCTGTGTTTAATTCCTATCTCACTGGCCAGATCTGCCTCAGGGACCCACTGCTAACCAGTTACTGCAAGGAAGTTGAATCATGTTGGTTTAACTTACTTATGTTCATCAGAATTCATGAGCTGGAATTGGTAAGGGACCTGCTTCACTTAAAGTCCATGACCACTTAGTATATAAACCACCACCACAACAACAAAAGCAGAGTAAGCTAGGTGCCTCATGACTCATGCCTGTAATATCCTCGCTACTTAGGAAGGTGAAATCTAAAGGAACTCAATTCAAGGCTAGACTGGGCAGAAAAGTCCAGGATATTCTATCTCTAGATAACTATCAAAACCAGACTAGAAAAATGGCTAAATGGTAGCGTGCCAGCTGAACAAACAAGCTGAGCTAAACGTGAGGCCCTGGGTTCAAATATTCGTACCAACAAAAAAATAAAAGAAAAAGCATGCTATATCTTAAGTATTAAGTTACTGTTTGTCTCTTTTAGAGCGGAAGAGATTCCTTTGAAAATCTTGGCCCATAATGGCTTGGTTGGAAGACTGATTGGCAAAGAAGGCAGAAATTTGAAGAAAATTGAACATGAGACAGGGACCAAGATAACCATCTCATCGTAAGTCACCTATTAACGTTAGTTAATGTGTCTCTTAATCAACATTTGAGCACTTCTGCATCCTAAACTTATTCAGCTGCATTTATTCATTGTACCATGATGCACCTCTCTCCATTATAATCAAAAACAAAGGCTAGGGATGTGGCTCAGTAGTAAGAGTGGTTGTCTATCTTGAACAAGGCCCTAGGTTTTATCATAGTACTACAAAACAAGAAAACACCCATACCCCTCCTAAAAGAATCACCCTCCCAAAAGCCTGCTTACCCAGATTGGCCAATCAGCCAAATATGGACTGATAGAAGTTACTAGTAAGGTTTCAGATAAAATAGTAGAGATTCTGTACCAAAGTATTTTGCAAGAGAGTCCAGTCTTCTGTATCTCTACCAAGATTTGTTTGTGTAATTTCATTTTTTTTCTGTGATGAAAGGAAATTTCTCTCTTTATTTTCCATCTGCTAGTTTGCAGGATTTGAGTATCTACAACCCTGAAAGAACCATCACTGTGAAAGGCACAGTTGAAGCCTGTGCAAATGCTGAAATGGAGATAATGAAAAAGCTGCGTGAGGCCTTTGAAAACGATATGCTAGCCGTCAACGTAAGTGCCTCAGGCCTCCTCCTTTACTGGTTTACCCATGCATGGGTTTGCAGAGAGGACACAGCTTCTAAGAATAATTGCATTCAGCTAAGGAACTACCTTAGAATGCAGTTTTTCTCACCTTCTTGGGGAAAGGCATTAAAACAACTAGTAGATCATGATAAACCTCAAACTAGACACAACAATGTGAAGCCATTATGATCACATTTTTAAATGAAAAAATACTTATACAATATTTATTAAATTAAAAAATGAGAATATATGGGACTACAGTTACAGTTATGTAAAATAATGAAACAGAGAGGAAGGCTATAGATAACTGAAAATGTTAGGAAAGTGGAGTTTTTCCTACTTTCTACACTTTCTGTGATATTGTCTTATTACTCTTTAAATTTTTTTTAAAAATATGCTTTAAAATTAGCCAGGTACAGTGACTCACGGCTACAATTCCAGTTACTTGAGAGCTTGAGATTGAAAAGATCATAATCTGAGGCTAACCTGGACAACCAGTAGTTGGATAGGGTGATTCAAACGTATCATCTCAGTTTCACAGGAATCATAAATAGGAAGATTGAAGTCCAAGCCAGCACAGGCATAACCTGGCAAGACCCTGTCCCAAAAAGCTTTGCACATGACTCAAGTGGTAGACCACCTGCCTAGCAGAAACAAGACTTTTCTGAGTTCAAACTCTAATACCAACACACACACACACAGACACACACACACACACAGACACACACACACACACACACAGAGGATCTGGGCTGGGTGTGTGGCTCATTGGAATTTATATTTAAGTATATGAAGCCCTGGGTTTAGTTCCCAGTCTCCAACACCAAAATGAGTAAAATAAAATTAGCAGGGCACAGTGGTATGTATCTGTAATCCCAACTGCTTTGAAAAGCTGAGGCTGAAGATGTCTTGAGCCCCAAATCTTAAAACCAGCCTTAAACCAGATCCAGAGGTGAGAGAAAGAAGCCTGGGGTGTATGAGGAGCAGGATGGAGTAGGGTGGGAAAGAGAGCCTAGCAAGAGACAAGCTGGAGAGGCAGCCTGAGTTGGTCCTACCGGGGGACCTTGTTGACTACGGTAACAAAATAGACACTCCTAAAGGTGGCACATAGCTTTGAAGGAATACCATGGCCAGACTGAGGTTTGGCCTCCCCAGAGTACAGGAGGAAGAGGCCACATGCTAGAATGGAGTTGATTGGAAGACAGCTGGGCCTGTCCGGTTTCCTCCTCTCATCCTTTTTTCTCCATTTCTCTTCCCAACAGCAAACCAGTCTGATTCCAGGGTTGAACCTTAGTGCACTTGGCATCTTTTCAACAGGACTGTCAGTGTTGCCTCCACCAGCCGGGCCCCGTGGAGTCCCCCCTACTGGCCCCTATCACCCGTTTGCTGTAAGTAGTTCAGCACAGAGCAGGTCGCTCCTGCTCTGGGCACCTCCTGGTGAAGCATTGCTGCATTTGTGTTGAGTCAGGTCTAACAGCTGCCTCTGGAGGCTTCTCTCATGAGTGAAGATGGTGTGAATCTCTTAGAACTTTTTTGAGGCTGACAAATTGATATTAAATCACCATCAATATATTCGTAAACATAGTATGTCATAGCTATGAAAGAAAAATCATCTAGAAAACATTAGCTAGAAGCCTATTTTATTGTTAAGGAAAAAGGTGTTTCTTTGCTCAACTACCATTGATGAGTGTTAGTCATTTATTACAGTCTTGAACTACCTGAATGGCTCTTGAAAATACATACATATATACACACATTTCCAACCTACGTCTACAACTCAATTGAATTATATTTTATTAGTCAGCAGCTTTTTAAATGAAAACATGGGGCTGGGAAGGTGACTCAGTGGTAGAGTGCTTGCCTTGCATGCCTGAGGCCCTGGGTTCAATTCCTCAGCACCACATAAACAGAAAAAGCCGGAACTGGCGCTGTGGCTCAAGTAATAGAGCGCTCGCCTTGAGCTGAAGAGCTTAGGGACAGCGCCTAGGCCCAGAGTTCAGGTCCACGACCGGCAAAAAAAATAAAAATTAAAAAAATAAAAAAATAAAAATTAAATGAAAACATGCAGTTTTTCTAAGCAGCACTGTTATTTAGTGGTTATCAATAAATATGTATTGTCTGAATTACACTTGTGTGGCTTCCACTTGTTCTTATTTACAAGCATTATTCAAGATATTAGTAATATTAGTAAGTTGAGGCTGAGAATACTTGACAGCTCTCTTATTCCTAATATTACTAATATTGTTTGTTTGTTTATTTATTTATTGTCAGTTGTGGGGCTTGAACTCTGGGCCTGGCGCTGTCCCTCAGCTCTTCAGCTCAAGGCTAGTGCTCTACCACTTGAGCCACAGCGCCACTTCAGTTTTCTGGTGGTTAATCAGAGATAAGACTCTCACGGCCATTCCTGCCCGGGCTGGCTTTGAACCACGATCCTCAGATCTCAGCCTCCTGAGTAGCTAGGATTACAGCTGTGAGCCACCAGCATCCAGCAATATTGTTTATTTTTAAAGCAAGTTTCCTTTCCCCCAGTATTGGCATTATGGAAATGGAAACATGACCTCAGCCCCTGCTTCCTGCTAAGAGTTGGTTTCTGGTGTTGGCATTCTGGTGTTGATATAAGTTCTTAGTTGGCTGTGTGGCTTTTCTGTAGGCAGGTGGGATCGACCATTGTGCTGCACTACTGGCAGAACACAGACATAGTGGCACCTGCATTCTCAGTCGCATACACATAAGCTTTCTGCAAGCAGGCCTGTTCATAGATAGTTCTTCTGAGGCATTTCTGTATCACTCCATACTGATTCTAGTTGAATCCATTTTCCCTTAAACCAACGGATGGAATCCAACACCATGCCTTGTGTGGCGGAGAGCACTGAAGGTGTGGTGGGTGTGTCTGTGGTAGGAGGAGCTTGTGGTAGTTGGAGCTTTGTGGTGGGAGTTAGGACAGTCATATGGCTGTTCCAGGGAGTAAGACTCCTATGAGAGGTACACATCTCTGCACTCCTTTTGTAATGCTTGGTCCAATTAAAAGGCATCAAGGAATAGCTCCTTCCTTGTAAACCAGGCCCTACAAAAGGTGGCTACAAAAACCAAGCTATCAGCTGGGCAAGGCTGTAATCTTATCATGAGACTGAGATCTCAGGACCAGGATTTGAAGCCAGTAGGGACAAGAAAGTCTATGAGATTCCTACCTCCCATTAATCACCAAAAAGCTAGAAGTGGAGCTATGGCTCAAGTGGTAGAGCACTAGCCTTGAGAAAAAAAGCTCAGAGACAGCACCCAGGCCCTGAATTCAAGTCCCAGGACTGGCACCCCTTCCCTCCCCCGAAAAAAGGAGCCAGGCCATCATGCAGACTAAGTCATCTAAGTGGGGAAAAGGCATAATAAATAAACCACTAGGGCCTGGGGGAGTGTAGCTCAGTGGCTCTGGAATTCAATCCCCAGCACTGTAAACATTTAATTAAAAACTGAAATAGGTGTCAGCATAGTTTGAGGACCATTTATTTTTGTAAATAAAGTTTTATTGAAACAGAAAAATGATTTTTAGAGAAATTTACATAATGTCTACTACTGCTTTTCAATTAAATGACAAAGCTGAGGAGATGCAACAGAGACCCATGTGAGCATCAAAGCCTAAATATTATTTGCTTCTACACAGAAAATATTTGCTGAACTCTACATTAAAACAAGATTGATTTTAATATGATAGCAGGGTGGTTTCTAAACTTGAAAATAGTTTTGCTAGTTATTCCTTTACATCTGAGATTTTTTTTTGGTGGGGGAGGAAGTAGGTCAGTCCTGGGGCTTGAACTACTTGAATTACTGGTGTTCTACTACTTGAGCTATAGTACCACTTCCGGTTTTCTGGTGCTTATTTGAATATGAGTCTCACAGACTTTTACTGCCTGGGTTGGCTTTGAGCTGTGATCCTCAGATCTCAGTCTCCTGAGTAGTTAGGATTACAAGCCTGAGCCACTGGCACCTGGCTTACATCTGAGATTTTAAGTAATATAGTAGTTAACTATTTTAATCAAATAGTAAGTTCCTTTCTTAGGGTTGGAGGCATAATTCAGTTGATAAGAGTACTAGTTAATTAGGAAAAGTGGCAGTCTCAGAACTAAAAAAAAAAAAAAAAAATCAGTTTCTGTTCTTAAGTTTTAAATTGATAAACAGTTAGGCTTAGTGGTGCATGCCTGTAGTCCCAGCTACTAAGGAAGCTGAGGTGGATAATTTATTGAGCCTACAAATTCAAGACCAGCTTAGGCAAGACTCTATAATAAAAAAGAAAAAAGGCCGAGCACCAATGGTTCACACCTGTAATCCTAGCTACTCAGGAGGCTGAGATGTGAGGATCACAGTTCAAAGCCAGCCCAGGCAAGGAAAGTCCGTGAGACTCTTATCTCCAGTAAGCCACTAGAAAACTGGAAGTGGCGCAGTGGCTCAAGCGGTAGAGCGCTAGCCTTGAGCTGAAGAGCTGAGGGATAGCATCCAGGCCTAGAGTTCAAGCCCCACGACCGACCAAAAGAAAAAAGGATTTTCTTTTTTTTAACTAACAAAGGATCTTAGGTCAGTAAATCAAGATTAGTCTATTGAGAAGCAGATAGCTTAGGTCCATGCAGACTGCCTGTGTGTGCATTTCTGCATTTCACTTGCTGTTTTTAACCCTGGGCAAGTGAATTTTAATTCCTTTGCGTCTCATTATCAAAGAAAAAGGAAAATAACCTACATCATAGAGTCATTGTAAAATTGATTAAATGAAGTCTTCATGTAGTGACTTTATTTTTTACTTTTCTTAACATATTAAGGCTGTTACCACTTGTGATGTAAATATTTTCTACCAGGTTGTTGTTGCTCTTCGATTTACTTACAATATTTCGTGATGTATTTGTGTATGTGAACGAGTAAACTAGTCTATGCAAGGTAAAGTGTAAAACTTCCCTTCAGTTTTTCTTACCCAAATCTCACCCAACCCCCACACCTTGGAAGTAATAGCATTGCATGCATTTACCATAAGTTTTCTAACCAATATACCATCTTAAGGCATTAGGGTTGATTTCAGGCTTTCCCTATTATCCAAGTGAGTATCCTTACACATAAGTCCAGGATTATATGTGAAAGTAAAGTCTCTTCCAACCAGAATTACAGCAGTGAAGTATTTATGCATTTTAAATATTCACAGATTTTCTTAGCACAATCATGTAGTTAAATCAGTGGTGTTTTCTTATGGACTTCTGGTCATGCTAGAGAGAAAACTTCCTCCCATCCAAGACTATAAAAATATTCCATTCTAGTTTTTGGTTATTTGTTTTGGGAAAGTTGTTTATCTGTTATCCATAGGGAATTTATATAGGCTTCCACTTTCAGGTGGTGATCTAACCTTTTTTTCTTTTTTTTTCAAACGAATACTTAGTATTGTTCAAATCGTTTATTGAGTAATCGACCGTTCAGCATTTGTCTTGAAATGCCAACTTGGTCATGGGCTAAATTTCTCCTAAGTCGTATTTTTGGACTCTGTCCCATACCATTCAGCCTTTTGTCCACACAGCAGTTACCACAGCTCTGCATCATCATGGACAGTTTCTAGCAGCAAGCTTGCCTTTTCCTCAAAGAATGAATTAGAAAGATGTCCAAATTTTGCTATGTTTGAGAAAAGGGAAAAGATACATAGAAATTAGCTATTCTTGGAAGAGTTGATCAATTCCATTAATAAGCATCTGAAACTAGTACCATGTGTTTAGAGAAAATATCTTTGTAACGTTTTAAGTTTCTTATAAGTTTTTGATTGGGTTTTGTTGATTTTGTATTTTCCTATTAAAAAAAAAAAACATTTGTAGTAGTAGAGTGTTTACCTAGTATTTGTGTGGCTCTGAGTTCAATCCCTAGCACCAGAGGAGAAAAATTTTCATCTCTTTCCATATATAATATATATATATTGCAAATATGTATATCTACACATACACATATAGATAGCACGTGCACATATATGTATGTACATGCATAAAGTTAAACAAAACAGACTATCTTTTAAATCTTCACTTTTTAATTCCTAAGATAGATGTATTTTCTCTTTTTTTCCTTAAGATTTATGAAGGACTTTTCTGTTTTGTTTTTTAATTTTGAAGGAGTTCCCGGTTTCCTTGTTATCTTGGTTTCTGTATTCTTTGGGAGCTGTTCTTTCCTGAATTAACTAACTGGGAGCGTTAGCCTGCTGTTCTCAGCCTTGCTCCTCTTTTTTTTTTTTAAGTCAAATTTTGTCTTATGTTTATTCTCTCATATCTTCCTACCAACAATATTTTATTAAATATATTTTTATTGGGCTGGGAAGGTGGCTCAGTGGTAGAGCGCTTGCCTTGAGCTGAAGAGCTGAGGGACAGCACCCAGGCCCAGAGTT